TCGAAGGTCCTAGCGCAGCTGCATCTGGCATGTGGAAGTATCCCCATAATATCACTAACATGGGATACCCATAGTGACTGCCCCAGCAGTCTTGGTATTTCTTGCATATTTTTAAAGGCAAACATTACTGATTTTACTACGAGAATTATCAGTACAATCAAAATTTGGACAAAAAAAATTATGATGTGAATCACAACTAATATGGGAAACATAATACAACTGTAACAAGTGAATTTATGCAACAGGAACACGGAAAACCCGGACCTATAAGCTTCACTTTGCGCCGGAAGTGAGTCAGCTGTAGGTTTAGCTTCAAAACGCAGGGAAGCACATCCTAGTTTTGGAGTTTTGCTGCCCGCAAAAATGTCATTTTTTCCTAATTTACACTTCTCTTGCATAGAGATGAAATTTTTCCGCGCTTTTTTAATGAAGTTCAATATCTGTAAGTCAAAAAGTGGCTGAAATCCATACTCCTCCGGATATTCCATCAACCCTTGTGTTGCATCACTCAGTTTTTTTCTCTTTACAAACGGACGCGTATCAATGTTATTTTAGGGTAAAAGAGGCCCAAACTACGTTATTCGGCCATCTGTGATCGAAAAAGACCGTCAGTAAATGATAGCGCTCTTGTAGCAATGTAATGTGAATATACCCCTCTCATCTCCATTTTATGGGGGGCAATTCTCTTTTTCAACATTTCTGGCCGAACCGGATTATGCAGCTTATTCAGTCAGAGACACTGAACACAAGAACTAAAGCAACATGGAATTTGACGTAACCCAAGCAAAAACGATAAAGGGCTGCATGCCACTGATACGTGTAATGTATGTACAATAGTTGGATTCAGATCATCCACAGATTGATTATCGAGAACTTCTGAAAAAAAACTATGTTTAAGTATAATGCAGGAAAAATGATCCAAACTTGCAGCGCTATAAAACGGTTTTGGAAGACCGCAGATTCGGAAAAAAACCTCCAAACCGGTTCATCAAAATTTTTGTCCGACACGGAGGATTCTCATCCCCCTCCCTCTTCTTCCCCCAGGATGTATGCCAGTGCGAAACCAGGTGCTCGCTTCAATAGACTGCATGAGCAATTCTAATCACTCCCTGATGTGTCAGCAGAAAAATCTCTTCGTTTAGAGACAAAATTTTTCGCAAAGAACTCTTTGGGACAAAAAAAACTTCTCAAAAAAGAAAAAAAAGAGGAAAAACTGATGAATCACGGTAACTTCCAGGAGTATCTAACAAATATCTAAGGGCCAAAACCGACTCAAAAACTCACAGGAAAAAAAGCAGAACCGACTGAATATGAAACTAAATTCACAAAAATTTGATTATATGTGGTGGCACATAAATTAGTACAGGTGTACGTACAGGAGACTCACAGGCATGCTACTACGGGAAATTTAAGACCAACACTCCCAGTTCGTCAACATATAATTAGTAATGATTTTTGTTAAAAAATGTGCTCACTTGTATCAGAGGCTTAACTACTAATAAAAAAAAAA